CAGTCATGCATGCATGGATTTTGTTCAGATTTAGTACAATGTGTTGTACATATGCAGGTGCATTTCGGTCATGATCTGCTTTGAATGTATATGTCACTCAAATATGAACGGAACGGGGACGTGTCATTGACAATGACTTGTTTTCTAACAATTTTATAACAAATTTGATTTTTTTCATGGTATGTTAGTAGTACAGAAAAGTATTTGTTGACCTTATGTATTTATCTGGGTTTAGTGAAAAGTTAAAAGTTAAGGAAGTTGTAATTGCTTTAAAAAGTTTCATTAAAACATTGACAAAATATAATTTGGTGAAAATTCAATGAAGCCTTATTATACACAATATATCATGATGCAATTTTCAGATAAAATTTGTTCCAATTTGAAAAAAACAACAATAATTTTGTACAATATTTAGCCATGTTTGTTGAGTGCAGTATTTTCTTTGAGCTGAGACAAAAATTAAATACTGGGAAATATTATTAATTACTCATCTGGTCATGTGATTGTTATTTTTTCTTCAGATTAAAACACAGTTTGTTGCCGACTGTAACTTCCAATGAATGTGACAGGTATGTGTGCAAATATTTTTACCAAGTGGAGGCCAGATGAAGTAAAAAATACACAAGAAATTAACAATTCTATATATTTTAATCCATAGTGCACGAGGTTCAAATCAGGATAGTTTGGTTAAAATGTTACTTGGAATTGATTTATTGCAGGTAAGTCTACCGTAAAAACTTGATTAATTCGCGGTCCCTATTAATTCGCGCACCCATTTTATTTTCAAATGCTAATTTTTAAATGTATCCTTTTAATTCGCGGCGTTCAAAAACATGTTTAAAATTGTATCCTATTAATTCGCGGGCCAGATTAAAGTGGATAACTCAGAATATATTGCATGAAGACATTAAAAATATACATTTTCTTTGAGTTTTTATGTTATCAGTACTTGGTGTAGCCGCAATCGCAGATGATCTCCATCATCACAGCCTTTCAGTTAGCAAGCAGTTTAGGTTCGGTAAAGATTTGACGTGAAAAAAATCATTCCCCCACAACACTACAGATGTTGGGCAAGATTATTACTTAGTCGATAAATATCCATCGGTCAGCACATCGATTACGAATTTCCGTGATCGAAAGCTTAGTACAGGGCTTTTTCTTTGCTGGTCCACAGGGTTGCATCGACCATATCTCCGCCATTATTCTATTAAGTCATTGAAGTGAACCACCTTATGGTGCGTAAATTGACGTTTTTGATTGGTCGGGCGATTGACCTCGTGTCATATTTTCATTATACCGGATTCGGTAAAAAACACAGAGTTAAGCGGTCATGTACGTTCTATAAATCTAACCTTGCACACATAATCTTGTACTGACGTGTTTTTTGTCCAAGAAAGACGTTCCCTTTCATTTAACCCCCCAGTTAACTCTTCGCGTCCATGGTATTTGTGAGAGTTGTAAGTAACTATATTGATTTGCATCAAGCTGGGTGGTTCGAATTTAAATATCAGTGCGTGAACTCTGGAGGTCAGTGCCCAATGCCGCACGTAATTCAAACGCGTGGTTATTAGAGTTCAGTCGAAATGTACGTGAATGATGCGATCGAAGTGCGCTGCCCAGAGTTTATTATATTATAGTAAAATTTAATTTGGCGTATGGTATGTTTATGTTTGCGTAATTATTACGAATGCAACGCATTATCAAGTCGGTGATATTGAAATATTCACAGACCCAATACCCCGGGTCAGTGCCCTAACAATAGTTAAAAAAAACTAATTATCATGAAAGCAATACATTACGAAGTTGAAATATTCAGAGCCGGTACAATATTGTAAACAAATTTGCGTAATTAGAAAAGCAGTGCACTAAGTAAACGACGTTGATATATTCAAAGCCAGTACAGAGTTGCATACAAGTTGCATAATTACAGTACCTTCGGATATAATATCAATTTTACTAGATTGACGCGCGGAGCACGAAAGAAAAAGGTTGCTAAGGTAACATGCCAGTTCAGTGCGTGACTTGGGATCAAACTTCGGTCAACACACACTTGATGTCAGCATCGCC